GCAGCCAAAACAGTACACTCTGACGGTATCCTTCTCTGAACAAATGCACTTGCCCTGGATGGATTGTCAAGCAATCAGGACCCTGGATTTCAACTGCCCCAAACGGAGGGGCTTGTCTTTCTCCGCCAGCCTGAAGGTGCTCCCCAGTGGGGGCTATCAGCGCCACGATTTTCCGAAGCTCCGCCCATTGCTCTGGCCGCAGTTTGGCATTCGCAGCCTGAGGCTCTACGAAGACATCGTATCCTGAGCATTCAGCTGAGACAACCAAACAAATGGAGGTCAACATGCAGTAATCGATGGCATTCATACCCGTTCGGGGCTTCAACACAGGCGAGTCCTCGTATGGGTCTTTGTCTTGAGTCTTGCAAGGCTCCACCTACAACTGTGTGCTTCAATAGACTTGAAGTCGAGTGGAAAAGGGCCCTGTGGTACTTGCGCACACTGACGGTCATGGCATGGTGGGTTCTTCCACGTTGCAGCCTCATGATGCAGTTGGTCTGCGCTCCCTGTTCCTCCCTCCCACTTTTGTGAATGCCATCAAAACGTACTTCGCTTGCACTTGTTGTAGCCCAGCGGCTATCACGAACCAGCGCCAGGATGCTGATGCAAGATGACTCAGCGCGGTCTCTCTCTGGAGCTTGGTCGAAAACCATGTGGCTGCCTTTTGTTTTGTTGAGCTCTGGAATGTGCTGCTGCAGCTGCCGGGGTAGCGCATCTGCGTCGAAACCCTTGGCCGGCGCGGCATGGGAAACTGGATGCCACAAATCTCTCTCCCTCACTCCCATGCCCTCTATTTACAGCACTTTACGCGTACATATCATCATTGCTTGTTCTCTCCAAAATGCCTTTGCACACAGCAACCAAAACTGGCCTGCCCGTCTCCCGCACCCAGCATGTGTAGCCTACTTTTGGCGCACCTCCTCCAATGTGTCGAGGAGGTCGTGCAGGCCTGGATCTACGCTTTCCTCGGATTTGAACTCCTCCCACTCGTCCAGCGCGTCGTGCGGATTCTTCTCCTTTGGCAGGTTTGGGCAAGGCCTTAAAGGCCTTACATGCCTGATTGACCTTGATGGCCCCCAAAAATGCCCAATATGCATACTGTCTTGAGTTGTGAGCCTGGCCTCTATTCACCTCGAGGAATGCCGTTTCGGCCATAGATTAATATTAGGTTTAACGGTTTAACCTTCCTATTGCTTGAAGCCCCCGGCCTCTGTGAAAAGAGCTCGCACTTCGGGTGCGATCGAGATGTTGGCAAACAACTTGGTCGGGTCAGGATAGAGTATCTGATAGTACTGGTTCTGCTCGCAGCACGTGCGGGACATCTGCTCGTGCTCATCCGCGGACAATGTGGTCCGCTTCTTTTGACTAGCGAGGATGAACTCTTTGGCATACTCGCAGAACATTGATGTGCAACCGGGAGAGTCACGCACGCAGTCTGCAAGCTTGCTCCCAGAGAGGGAGAACATCTCGGCAAACGATTTTGCAGTAAGGGTTGTTTGATGAACCGTTTTCTCCGCATACAAACTCAACTCCCCAAACCAGCGTTCGCCCGCGATCTCCACCCCTTTGCCGTCTGGTTCGATGCCTTCGATGTAATTGAACACGCCAGCCGCAGCAATGTGCAGTGCTGTTGACCACGCTCCAGCTGCAAATACATGCTCTTTCTGCTCGTAGACATCCTTTTCCAGGGCCGCACAAATTGTAGCAAAGACATCGGGAAACAGGACAGAGGTGAGTGAAAAAATTGGCACCACTTGAAGGTAGCGACTTCGCTGTCCGACGAAAAGCTCTGTCTGCAACGTGGGGGAGATCAACGAGGGGTCAAAGGTCACAAAGGACATCCTTTGCAGCTTGTAGTCCACAAACTTCATGATTCTAGACACAAGCTCGAAAGACGCACTCTGACTTGTGAGGTAAAGTCGTATCTCCCTCTTCTGTCGTGCGCTTGCTTCATTCATGGCCTTGAGCTCGTTCAGGGTTCCAGCGATGGCGGAAACAGCGGATCCGATGACAACCAGAGAGAATACGTAGGCCATGATGTCGAACAAACGCTCTTTCTCACTTTCCGGTGAGATTCCAGGCGGGGATGGAGCATTCATCACATAGCGCAAGGAATGCAAGTACTGAACATACACTGGCAACCCGGTCGCACCAGATATTTCTATCCAGCTAACAATGCCGTCGAATTCAACCAGCCGTCCCAGCCAGTACCAACAGCAGGTCAGCATATGTGCCACCACTAAAATGAGGAACGAGGTATTGACAATCGCGATGACAAGCATCATCCATTGCCGGCCAGTGGATGCCGCAATTTCCTGCAAAATGTCCTGCAACTTGGACATCTTCAGTAAGCGCAAGAGACGGAAGGCACGCACGATCCGTGCGTACCTCAAGGCTGCGAGCTCGCCCATTTCTGTGAAGGCATTCATGAAATCCAGCGTCAGCAGCGCTACGTCGAAGACCAGCCATGTCTGGACATAGTGTCTCACTATGCTGGGCGAATCGCTCACCAACTTCCCGGACCTGTAAAAGGCAGTGATGAAATTCAGGAACACATCCGCGGACCAGAAGACAACGCTTACCCAGAAGATGAGTAGCAGCACTATCCCACCTGGGGACTGCCATCCCCCTTCCAGTTCCCAAGCTAAGGCTACTGGTAGAACGAAGGCGTCCATCATGATGAGAACCAAACCACACGCGTCCCAGAGCAAACGGAATCGCCCAGCTGGCTGAATTAGTGGGAGCTTGCAGCGACTTTGGTCATCTAGCATGTTGGTGCTCTCGCCACGCCTGGAGATTCGCCGCTTGCTCTTCCGGACTGCTGCCTGTGCAACTGAGGTCGTGTCAACACGTTGGGTAGACAGCTCCATCCACCTACCATTCAAGCGAATGTCGGTACTATCTTGCTTCACGCCGCATGACACAACATAGCGCTTTTGGTGATCTTGTCCTTGATTTTCGCCTTTCGGCTTGTTCCAGTACGATACCAATGCAGGTGGTTCTGCCGGTTCGCCTTCTACACCATTTGCATCGTTGTCAGCATGCTGACTCCCCACAGTAACTTGCAGGTTGTCCAACCTCTGCCGGGTCCTGCTGAAAAAGGACTCCTGAGCTTTTGCGCTGCCGGTGGTGATTTAAACATGAATACTCTCTCTCTCTCTCTCTCTCTTGCTTTCCTAAGTCCGTCAAGCCAACTTGTCCATGGAAGTCCCTTCGCTGCGGAAGAAAGCTTTGGCTATTGATGAACGGCGACGCAAGTAGGATCACTTCGGAAAACATCATGCCAAAGAAGGTCAGGGTAACGGCGTTAGTGAAGCGGGAGGTCTTGTGAAATTTCCTGAACATGTTAAAGCGATATTTGCACGGGCGGAGCCCGCATTCGAGCAACTAGCAAGGTGCGTTCATGTAGAAACTCATGCATTCAAAGATCACGCAAGAACACCGACTTCATCGCTGCAGCATTGCGTTTCTTCGTTTCTACTCAGCTGAGCAAACACGTTCTTGTTCCTTTTGCCCCAGTGGAGTCAGACCGAAGAGACGTAGCGCTTCCGCGATTGAGCTGGTCTGCTTCCGCTGTCGCGAAAGTAAGTCTTCGAGCACGTGATGCTGAATGAGCACGGCCCGCTGAGCTGCTGAACAGAAGTGAGGACCAGGTCTCGGTCATTTTGCGCACAAGCAGGGACAAAGATGAATCACAGCGCCAGGACACAAGTCGTCAAGGTATTGCCTTAAATCACCGGGGGGGGCACAGCAAGGTGGTGCGCAGCTGAGGCCGGGGGATGGGGACGCAGCCGGAAGTCAGTTTCGCTCAAGCTGCAGCAGGCAGTAGGCCAAGTTTGTGGGGCACAGGTATTGAGGCTTCTAAAACGAGAGAACATAGCGGGCGGCACGCGGCTGTTAAAAGGAAAGAACGTGCAACGCCGGCCCAGGGATGCAGCAGGGGGATGTCCGGAACGCAGCAGGCGTCAGTTTGGCTTGGATTGCGATAGGCAGGAGGCCAAATTTGCGAGCACAGGAATCGTGGGTTTCGCTCCCCACCAAAACGAGAAGAGACAATCGCCGCACATTGCGGACTGCTGAGAGTGATTGGACTCGTCGGACCAATCACACTGGTCGGATAGAAACTGCGCTCATCAGATCCGTCACACGGATGGAAAGTTGCGCAGGTCCACCCAGGTCCCGCGCGTTGGACTCCGTTGAACGGGCGGGGAAACCGCGCTACCGTAGCACTGAACGGAGTTCTCAGGCCCAGCACACTTATCGGGCCCATCAGACTGGTGGACTAACCGCTACAGCTACGTGTTTGGGGGTGCGATGGACTCGTCGGACTCATAGGGCCCGTCTGACTGATCAGGTTTGGTCTGTGCCTTTTTGCTTTGCAGTCCTTCCTCCAAGCCTCTGCATCACCAGCATTCCCGCCAAGCCAGCTGGCCCAACTTTCCTACGTTGCCCCCTTTGATGCCTTTTGCCCTAAGTTCCATCGCATTCCACTGTATGAACAAAATGCGAAGAATGCCATCACCCAAGCATCCTTTCATCCCTCACCCAGTGCCAGCAAGTTTCAAAATCTGCTCTCAAGGCATCAAGGGCTTGCACGGGATCGCGGTCGAACTTCACCGCATACACCGGTTCCCGCCCTAGCCCAAGCAGACCAGCCATGGCAGGATAGCTAGATGCTCAGTGCGCTCACTGCTTTGCTGTGTGTCCTGCAGCCGTTGACATAGGCCTTTCATCTGATGTACTTTCAACTTTCCCGCTGTGACGGATTCGTTGCGGCCGAAAATGGCTGCCAAGGTTCAGCATTGCGGGCAACACGAGTCAGTTTTCCTCTCAAGTCTCAATGCGTGTCAATCGGCTCTGAACGTTCCGGGACCAAGCCCTCAAACTTGCAACCTGCGGAGCAGCGCATGTGCGAAGTAGTCTGATTGCCACTTCCCACGCTGCTCTTGAAGGTCCAAATCGCAAGCAAACCCATCCCATGACAAGACAGGCCAGCTCACAGCGCGCTGCAGGCTGCATCTTGGAGACGGCTGACAGTTGCCTCACAAAATAACTTGAGCTGGCAAAAAACGTACTAAAATTATTATCCCAAGTTGTTTTCATTGCAATTCCAAGCGGCGGTCTTCATAAGCATGAGGTCCCCCAATAGCATGCCCCTTTACGTGTACGAGGTCTCATGCGTATACACCGCCGCAAATTTTCTGCTAACAAATTCACTTGGCAACATTGTTGGATCTGCAGAAAAAATGCAAAATACAGAAATGGGCCACTCCTGCTCCAAGCTGCGCGCGACTTGCGCGGGACTTGCTCGAAAACTTGTTAATTTTTGGGCCATGGGGATGATGATGACCATGATGATGATGATCATGATGATGATGATGATGATGATGATGATGATGATGATGATGATGATGATGATCATGATGATGATGATGAGGATGATGATGATGATGATGATGACGACGATGATGATGATGATGAATCATCACTGCGTCACTTAGGCTTCACTTGCGCTTCACTTGCGCTTCACTTGCGCAGCCCCATGTTTGACTTGCGCGGTCGCTCCTGTAACACACTCCTGCCCTTCAAATTACAAGCGGCGGTGCAGCTGATTTGATAGGTCCAAAACAACTGGGATCATGCCTTACATTGACACATACAACGGGCTATTTTTCGGCTCACTTCAAACACAACTGTGCTCTTGCCCCAAAGCAGCCCTCCCACTTCGTGTTGCAAACGGCTGATGCGCGAAACATGTGGCATCCCTTGGTAGGCATCCTCCATGAACGGACATCCCTTTGCGTAGCCTTCCCGCGGCGAGCCAAAAGCATCACCGGCTCCTCGGCGCAGCCAAAATCCGATTGACGGGGCTCAGGCTTGGGGTCCCTGCGAGCAACGTAGCGCTGCAAAGCAGGGAGAACCTGCACGTGTTTCGCGCCGTGAACTAAACTCATCTGCTACAGCAGGCTTTCTACAAACAAGTTGCCAGGCAGCAAACTCATGCCTACAAAACAAACTGCAGAGGCATGCCCTTTTGGTGGTTCGCTGTCTCGCTGCAGTGTTGTCGCAGTTTCAGCTCGGAAGTCACAATTTTGAGTACAAAGGTTGTACAATGCAGGGATTTGCACCATCAATGTCTTCTGACAACTGTTTCGGGGCTGGACCCAGATTAAGCTAATCTTGGTTTGCCGTCAAAGCATTCGGGCGATGGAAGCTTAAAAATAGGATCGCAGAAAGGATCTGCGCTGCTGCCAACCTCTGCTACTCCAGATATGGGCCTGTAATCCGTGCTAGGACTAAGGATGCGATTGTTTCTTTTGAAAGGTGTTTCGGAGCAAGACCCAAATTAAGCTAATCTTGGTTTGCTGTCAAAAGCAGAACAGGGTACGGGTTTGCGCTCCCGTGCTAGGATGAAGGATTTGCAAAGTTAATGTCTTCTGGGGGGGAGCTTTTGGGGGGTGGGAGAGGGGCGGCGTTCTACGATACTTGGCGTGCACTTTGCAGCTTTGGTTTGGTCGCCGCCTGGCCCTGCAAATGCCACCCATATCGTTGTACGCGCCGGGAGTAAACCAAGCACCATATTCGACCCCGCCGCATGCTGCAGGTGCTTGTTCGCTTGGGCATCATGCGCTTTGCGCTGATCAGCTGTGGAAGCAAGAAGGGTCAAAGATTCCGCTCGGCTCGAAGGTCGACTCTTTTCAGTCAGTGCAAAGCTGAGGCTGAAAATGTGTTTTCGCAGTTCCGGCTCGCAGCTTTGCAAAGCAAAGGCGCTATATGATATGCGAAAGGTGCCTCTGGGGCAACGATCGTAACTTTTCCGCGCAAGTGTTACGCGAAGAACGCCGTTCGAAAGTCAAAAGTGAAGCGCGCAGTCACAGCCAATACGCAAAGTACACTTTCGAATTTCAAGCTTGCAAGCCGCAATTTGTGACCATTACATGTCTTGAGGCTGGCTTGGAAGCAAGAGAGGCAATGGCAGAAACTCTAGTGGTGGCTCGGCGGCAGAAGCAGAAGCGGTCGCAGTGGCAGTAGCGGTCGCGCTGGCAATAGCATTGGCAGTAGCATTGGCAGTAGCAGTAGCAGAAGTAGTAGTAGAAGCAGCAGCAGCAGCAGCAGTGACAGTAGCAGGAGTAGCAGCAGTAGTAGTAGTAGTAGTAGTAGTAGTAGTAGTAGTAGTAGTAGTAGTAGTAGTAGTAGTAGTAGGAGAAGTATGGAGTAAGCGTAGGCGTAGGCGGAGTAGGAGTCTGTAGGAGTATCCGTAGGAGTATCCGTAGGAGTATGAGTAGGGGGAGTAGTAGTAGTAGTAGTAGTAGTAGTAGTAGTAGTAGTAGTAGTAGTAGTAGTAGTAGTAGTAGTAGTAGTACTAGTAGTAGTAGTAGTAGTAGTAGTACCAGCACCAGCAGCAGTAGTAGTAGAAGCAGTAAAAGGAAGAAGCAGTAGAAGGAAGAAGCAGTAGCAGTAGCTTGTAGTAGCCAGTAGTAGGTAGTAGGTAGCAGGCAGTAGGTAGTAGGCAGTGAGCAGTAGTAGTATTTGTTGTTGTTGCTGCTGCTGCTGCTGCTGTTGTTGTTGCTGTTGCGGCTGCTGCTGTTCCTGTTCCTGTTCCTGTTCCTGTTCCTGTTGCTGTTGCTGTTGCTGTTGCAGTTTTTGTTGCTGTTGCTGTTGCTTTGCTGTTGCTGCTGCTGCTGTTTTTGTTGTTGTTGGTGGTGGTGGTGGCGGTGGTGGTGGCGGTTGTTGCGGTGGTGGTTGTGGTTGTGGTTGTGGTTGTGGTTGTTGTTGTTGTCGTCGGTGGTGTTGTTGGTGTTGTTGCTGTTGGTGGTGGTCGTGGTTGTGGTTGTGGTTGTGGTTGCGGTTGTTGCGGTTGTTGCGGTTGTTGTTGTTGTTGTTGTTGTTGTTGTTGTTGTTGTTGTTGTTGTTGTTGTTGTTGTTGTTGTTGTTGTTGTTGTTGTTGTTGTTGTTGTTGTTGTTGTTGGTGGTGGTGGTGGTGGTGGTGGTGGTGGTGGTGGCGGTGGTGGTTGTTGCAGTAGTCGTAGTTGCTGTAGCTGTAGCAGCAGTAGTAGTTGTAGTAGTCGTCGTGGTGGTGGCGGTTGTGGGAAAAGTACGAGTGAGGAAGTGGGCAACACTTCAGGCTGCATTGATGCAGCTACTTTTGCCAGCAGCCGACAGTCTTTCACGGAGCCAGCCCTCTGCGCAGTCCTCCTCCGGGAAGCACAACGCGTTTGTGATGTCAAAGACTTGGCCACAAATCACCCTGAACTCCTATGTATGGAAGGAGCCTTCCAATATTGTTCGGGATCAAGTTGTCCAGATAGAAGGCGTTCTTGGCCCCTAGAAATTTTCTCCTCCGCAACGCCGTGCCTGCTTCTGCGTTTGCAGGCTGTGACCTGGGGGCATGGAGCATCCTGTGCCCGCTTGGGTACATAACAATAAAAAGGCCACCAGCTGCAAGCCACTGCAAGGCCAGCAACGGCATGTCAAAGAGAACAGCCACATAGACCCCGCCAAGCAAACATGTTGCGCAGCCACCGGGCTTGGCCTTGTCTTCTGACTAACCAAAATTCAGAGTGCGGGCCAAAAAACTTCGCCCGTCATGTTGTGCTTGGAACGGGCTTGACAGGTGCCATGCACAGTTGTTGGAATTTACAGACATGGGCCAGCCTTGGTCAAAGCCCTCAACGATTTCTTAGCCTCCTTTGCTTGCTGCTTATTGAGGGTAGCCGCCTTTGCCTCCCTCCCCCAAAGGGTCTAGCAAGAGCTTCGGTGTTGCGGCAACCAATTGAAAGCTAGCTCTCTCAGGCACGCAGGAAAGCGTAAGCAGGTTTCGGCCCTTTGGGATGCTCGAAAGTTAGCCTGATCGCGACGTCTGGTCAGAGTGATTTCGGACGATGCTGAGATTGGGTTTGGCATTGCTTTGGGCGGACACACGCGCTTGTCGCAGCATCAGTTCTGCGTGGCAGGCGCAGCACCTTCGCGAGGTCAGGTGCAGATTGCGTGGCAGGCGCAGCACATTGTCGGGTTGGCGTTCAGGCGGCAGGCGCAGCGCTTTCGCAAGGTCAAGTATAGATTCGGTGGCGCGCAGCGTTTTGGCAGTGCTGGCGCGTGTTGCAAGTCCCATTCGCGGGCAAGCGAACTGGCGCGTCGAGATTTCGTGGCAGGCGCAGCGCTTTCGCAAGGTCGGGTACAGATTTCGTGGCAGACGCAGCGCCTTCGCAAGGTCAGGCCGCCTTCGCAAGGTCAGGCGCAAACTTCGTAACAGGCGCAGCACTTCCGGGCGTGAGCTTTTGCAGGGTCAGGTCAGGCGCAGACTGCCTGGCAGGCGCAGCTCTTTCGCAACATTGGCAGCACTCTCGATAGAAAGATGCTGAGAGAGAAGTAGATTGATGGAAAGATAGAAGCCAAAGAAAAACGAAGGGCGAGTTGTAGTAGTAGTAGTAGTAGTAGTAGTAGTAGCGGCGGTGGTGGTAGTAGTAGTAGTAATAGTAGTCGTAGTAGTCGTAGTAGTAGTAATGGCGGTGGTAGTAGTAGTACGCACGAGAAGCGCTAGCGAAGCCGCAGCAGCAATAGTAGTAGCAGTGGTAGCAGTGGTAGCAGTGGTGGTAGTAGTGGTAGTAGTGGTAGTAGTGGCAGTACCAGTAGTAGTAGCAGTGGTAGTAGTAGTCGAAGTAGTACTGGTAGCAGCAGTAATAGTAGTAGTAGAAGTAGTAGAAGTAATAGAAGTAGTAGTGGTAGTAGGAGTATTGCTAGTAGCAGTAGTAGTAGGAGGAGTAGTAGTAGTAGAGGCGGTTGTAGCAAGAGTAGTAGTAGTATTGGTGGTAGTAGGAGTAGTAGTCGCAGTAGTAGTAGAAGCAGGAGCTAGGAGTGGTAATAGAAACGGTACTAGCTAGGAGCTGCAGCTGTAGAAGTAGCTCCAGGAGCTGAAGAATGACTGCTGCAAAGCCCTGGTAGCCACACCCCATCGCATTTTATGGCTCCATTCCACTGGTAGCCCTGGTAGCCCACTCCACCACTTCTTGGTGCCAAGACCTCTGAAGTGAACATTTGCTCATGGACCCTCCGACTAGTGGCTTGAAAAAGCAGAACACAACACAGGCGCAAGTTGGCGGGTTGCAAGTTTGCCACTCTCGTGCCTCAGGTAGTCAGAGCCAGTCAGGCTGGAGACAGAACGTAGGTCAATTACCTGCAGCTTCCAGGGCACAGTGCAAAACACCCCAAATCAACTTGACTCCATCCAGTACTTTCTTAAACGGGCATTGGACACATGTCGGTCACCTTGCTGTGGAAAACGCAATTTCTCCAAAATGTGACCTGCGCTGAGGTGCAAAGCCATGTCAAATGGCAAACCGCTTTGCCGTCCATTTCCAAGCTGATGTGGGGAACTTGCAGCCCAATTGCAAGCTGGTCTGCATCCCGCAACTTTGGCAGAATTGACCTCAGACTGGCCGTTGCAGACATGTGCTATCGGCGCGGCTACCACCATCTTGCCTGTCACTTTTTTCCTCAGCTGCCTTGGCTCTTCAGCCGCTCCAAGTCTGCTGTGCAAGCCACGAGGCTATTGCCTGTGTGCGCGGCATGCATCCAGCGCTACTTGTGGTTTTAGAAGGTGAGGGGAACGCCTTGGGCGTGCACCCACCATCCGCCTGCACTTTGGAAATCATCCGTAAGAAGCTCACAGAATAATCTGCGATAGGGAAGCTTGCAGCATGAGCACCTTCTAAAAGCTTCGGCAACCATGTCTTCACACCGTATCCCCGTTGAAGACATATTCCGCGTTTTGTAGCTCCCGACCCTGCCGCTAATGCAGTTGTCCCTCTGTTTGATAGACCTTCCAGGTACTCCGGCCAGCTTTAGCGAGCCGTGGAGGGAGCATGTTACTCACGCTCGACCGTGCCTGATTGAGTGGTTGGCACTACCGGGGCGGAATGACAAACAAACGGCCCAAAGGCCAACTCGGCTTTTCTCAGCAAGGACTTTCAAGCTTTCAAACCTCTGCAGTTCAGCACGTTTGAACCCTTCTATCGCGCGCAGCGGCGCAATGGAATCGGAGCTGCTGAAGAAGCCGACACGTGACAGCTGATCAAGCGTCCTGCTCACCCTTGCTTGGCTCCTTCCGACAACAGCCATGATAGCAACACTCCAGAGCCCCACATGTCCCACTGCAAACTTCTCAGGCCTTCTTCTTCTTTCCGGCGTCTTCCACTTCGTCTTCTGCATCCTTGCTGCCCATGCAATTTCAAGCAGCTCTGGGTCACACAAAGCAAGCTGCATGCTCCATCTCCTTCTCTTCTTTCAGAAAGTAAACGACGTGGCCAATGCGGAAGAACCGCCAAAAGCGTGCCAAGATGACAAACCCCACCTGAGCAGCGGTGAAGCACGCGGCGCAGGGCTTCATGTTCTGCTTTTGTCACATCAGTTGCCGCCAAGCAGCCAGAGGGAAGCTGATGCCTTGCGTCACGCTGCCGCGATTCCTGCGAGGTTCTATAATTTCCCAGGCCTGACACCTGATTACATGATTGCACAAGGGCATGGCCTAGGAAGTGGAAACAACCAGGCATCACATGTCAAAGGGGCTTGCTCAGATTGGGAAGTCGTCTTTGCTCTGAGTTTGATGCAACAATGGGTTCAACACGCATGTTCGCTGCAAGCCCGGTCACAAGGTTCGTCGTCGCCGCTGAGCTGTCGTTCTGCGCAGGCAAAGCAGAAGCGCAATGCAAACAAGGTCAATTTTGTCTGTGCTTTCGGCTCGCAAACTTGCCGGCGTCTGGCCGCCGGCCCTCCCACCCGGCCCCCTGTCCGCCTGTGCTTACACACAGCGCAAGGGTTGACTCGGGAACACAGGAAACTGGGTCCCCTTCTTGCATCACCATTATCATCGCTGAAGTGGCATTTTCGGCTTTGCCCCGCAACATCGTCATGCTCGGCTTAGAATTTAGTCTTCGCGTGCAATTTGGCTTTGCCTCGCAATGTCGTTTTTGCCAATCTCGGCTTCGAATTGCGCCTTCGCAGGCAGTTTTATCTTCGCCTACCCCGCGGAATGTGAGCTTCCCTCCCGTGTCAATGCATATGCGCACGCACGCATCACACGCACAGGGAAAAGGACGCAAGAATGGGAGTACGGAGTACGGAGACAACTGCCAGGCAATCACTGAATTGGCTTGGATGGTCTTGGAGAGATGGCTGGCTGGCTGATTGGTTGGTATAGGTATGACCGTGCTCCAGAGCCACCGATCGCCAGCACCAGAAACTGGATCTCGCAGCGCCCTGACACAACGCCGGTGAGTTTCTTGGAGAAGCCTGTGGCTGTCAGCCAAGGCAGGCATGCCCAGCGATGCACCCAAGTTTCGCTGCGAGCGGGTTGAGCAAAAGGCCGGTATAAAAGCCAAGAATGGCCAAGATGGAGAGCAACTTGGACTTTCAGCAGATCTCGGTTTTCAGGAGCTGCTTCCCGCAGTACCGGGCTGCTCCGAGGGGGAACCTTGGTCAGGCAAGGGACGGGAATGCAGATCTTGGAAGAATGCCGCATATGCTGCAGTGCTCTGTGGCACGCTGTTGCTGCCGCTCACCAGGTCGGCATTGACCTTGACTTGCTGATTGACAACGAGGCGGTTGTGACCCGTCTCCGCCGTGGCCTTGCAGGCGATCGCTCCGGCGACTGTGCTCTGTTCTGGCACCAGCTACTTGACCGATGGAGGCTGGGCTCAGCCGTGTGCTGGGTCCCGGCGCATGGGCACCGCCCTGACTGGGCGCCTCCTCCTGCATTCCCGCCTGCCGATGTTTGCAGACAGGCTAACTCCTTTGCCGATGCAGCTGCGACAGAACTTCTCCGACGATGTGTGCGTGCGGTACGGACTGCCTGTGACCTTTTAACTGAAGCTGACACTTGGGCCGATGCAGCCTTGCGTGGCCAGCACCATGCCACTGCCGCCTTTTGGCAGCAATGCCGTGACCACTGGGCAGCCGCTAACTAAACTTTTTAGGCCTTTTCCGCTCCTTGGGCGGGCTTCTAAGGTTTTGTTCATGCAGCTGCCGCCGCAATTAGTGCCTGATAGCCTTTCTGCCGCGCCGGAGCTTCTCCGGCCCTGTGTAAACCGCCTGTGACCTTTTGATTAAAGCCGACTCTTGCGTCAAGGCTACCTTGCGTTGTCAGCACCATGCCGCCTTTTGGCAGCATTGCCGAGACTACTGGGCAACCGCTTGCTAAACTTTTGACTTTTCCCTTGGGTTGGGTTCTTTAGTTCTGCTTTTGCGGGCGCCACAGTACGGCCGGAGTATCTTTCAGCCTTTTGGCTTGCCGACCGTGACTTCTTACGAAGCAGGTGCCAGCGGGCGTCTAAACCACCCTTTGCGGAGCAGGTTGACGTCTTATACAACAACAACAACAACAACAACAACAACAACAACAACAACAACAACAACAACAACAACAACAACAACAACAACAACAACAACAACAAC